TTTATCAAAACTAAATGCTGTATTTAGTAGTCAGTACTACTGTATTTTTTGCTCTATAAGACACACTTTTCCCCCCTCAAAAGTAAGGGGAAATGTCTGTGCGTCTTATAGAGCGAATGTGTGTGTGCCCGACGCCCGGGACGCTGCCGGCCCACCTGCACCACGTGGCACCACCTGGCCGGCATGTGCTTGGCGTGCGCTGCTCCACCCCCTCCCCTCCAGAGCAGGTGAGAGCTGTGCTGCTCAGGGGGAGCGGTGCGGAGGAGGAGGAACCATGGGCTTTAACCCGCCAGCCGCACGGAGAGACGGACTGCTCACCCCCACTGCCCGGGAAGACCTGCCACTGCCGCCGTGCCGCCCAGAAGACCACCGCCGGCACACTGCTGGCCTGGCTGCACCACACCTGGCCGGCACGCGCTCAGCGCACCCTGCTCCGCCTCCCTCCTCCGGCGCAGGTGAGAGCTGTTAATCACAGGTCGGTGTGTGTTTTCAAATGGCAACCCGTCTTTTAATGAAGCCCATGGGGAAGTGATAGGGAATGTGCCTGTGATTATCAGGAAGCTTTCCATGGATCCCTCCTCTAAAAACTAGGTGCATCTTATGGTCAGGTGTGTCTTATAGAGCGAAAAATACGGTAATTTAATCTCATTTTTTGACTCGGTAACCTCCCAAATGGACAAAGGGAACACTGTGGACATAATCTACCTAAACTTTAGCAAAGCTTTTGACATAGTGCCACATGACATTCTGATAAGCAAATTAGCAAAAACTGGTCTAGATGGAAAAACCATTAGGCGGATCCAAAATTGGCTGCTAAATTGGTCACCAAGAGTGCTCATCAATGGCACCTTCTCAAATTGGATGGAGGTAACTAGTGTGGTGCCACAGGGTTCAGTCCCGGGCCCACTGCTCTTCAACATCTTTATTAATGATTTAGATGAGGAAATATAAGGAAAGATAATCAAATTCACAGATGATATAAAACTGGGCAGAATAGCAAACACCCTAAAAGACAGAACGAAGATCCAGGGTGATCTTGATAAACTTAAACACTGGACTGAAACCAACAGAATGAAATTCTATAAGGACAAGTGCCAAGTCCTCCACCTAGGAAAAATAAACCAAAGGCATTGATACAAGATAGGGAATATGTGGCTTAAAAGAACAAGAAAAGGATCTTGGAGTAATTCTGGACAATAAGCTAAGCATGAGCCAACAACGCAATGCAGCCACCAGAAGGGCAAGTGCTATTTTGGGATGCATTAACAGACATATTACTTCCAAATTACAAGAAGTCATAGTTCCTCTATACTCCTCATTAGTCAGAGCTCACTTGGAATATTGTGTCCAGTTCAGGGCACCAAGATTTAAGATAGATGCAGTTAAATTAGAAGGGGTCCAGCGGAGGGCGACAAAAATGATCCAGGGTATGGAAACACTGCCCTATGAGGAGAGCCTGAGGGAACTGGGCATGTTCAGCCTTGAGAAGAGAAGACTGAGGGGGACATGATATCCCTCTATCAGTACTTCAAAGGCTGTCACAAAGAGGAAGCTCAAGATCTCTTCTTGCTAATGCCAGAATGTAGGACATGGAATAATCAATTCAAGATTGATTCAGATTCAGGCTGGACATCAGGAAAAGCTTCCTCACGGTCAGAGCAATACAACAGTGGAACCAGCTGCCTAGAGAGGTGGTGGGAACTCCCACACTGGAGATATTCAAAAAGAACCTGGACAGTCATCTGAGTGGGACGGTGTAAAGTGGTGTCCTGCAACAGCAGGGGGTTCGACTTGATGACCTTCATGGCCCCTTCCAACTCTTCTATGATGCTGTGACATGTATGGACCAATCCTGAACTTGACAGTTTTGCTAGCAGATGAGAGCTGCAGCAGATGTCCTTCAGTTTTGTAGCACAAGCAGGACCAAGCTCCTACATGCAATGTGAGTGATGAGGAGTGCTTTCACAGGATGTTGCTTTTCGGCTAGATGTGGGAAAGTTCCGCATGAAGCTAGGGTAGGCAGTAGGGGCTGCATCAGTATAGCATTAGAAAATATATTCAACTTCACTTAAAGCTACCAAACCTTTGAGCTGGTACAGCAAATTTTACATGTGTGAAAGACAAAGAGAAGAAATAGCAAATCCACAAGTTGCAAGAAAATTTACGAAGCATGCTACAAAGTTTAATAAAAAGTTGGTATAGTATTGTTGCCTTCTAGTGGAACGTTGCAGTTTCTATCCCCTTGTCTCACATCTATTTTGTGCTTGCGTATGGAGCAGAGTTCTCTTGCTTTGTTGTCCTTCCTGCTGCTGTAAGATTCTTTAGATAACTGGAATTTGATGCTCAATCCTGCAACAGTACCTGAAGTATTTTCCATTTGGGCTAGACAGGAATTTTGGAGTCTCTCCTTGCACTATAAAACTCTTGCAACTAGTAAAATGCAGTTGATCTTGCTCAACCTTTGTACTGGCTGGTAGATGATGAGAGTTGCAGTTCAACATATGGAGGGAACCAGGCCAGAGGAGGCTGATCTAGAAACATCCTGAAGTAAGAAGGAGCAACACACTAGCAAAAAGCACTAGAAGTAGAAGCCCAGAGGTGCTAGATTGAGGTCAACAAGAAGTTGCAGGCCCATTTTCCATCTGAACGTAAGAGGGGTACACCTTCAGAAATCATAAGTAGGACACACTAACAGCACAATCCACACTGCATCTACTCAGAAGTAAGCTCCACTCTTGCTTCCAGGTAAATGGGTACAGAATTGCGTCCAAATGCTATTAAGTAGTATTGTGCTGAATTTTTCAATCTATTTATTTTCTACCATTCATCTGGGGTGGTGTGAAAAGAAATTCTATCCAAAAATTGTGAGAGTAAAATAGTGGGTAAAACTGTTGAAGTCATTTCTCAGGATGTAGAGCATCACTGCTTATCTTACTGTGAGGAGGCAGCTGAAGAGTTTGTATGCTCTTGCTTGTACCATATTTATCCCGTTGTGTGCTTGCTGCCACAGGCTGCTTCAGGTTTCTAAGAAACATCTGGTGGACTTAATCAGGACTTCCTTGCTTGGGGACCAATCCAGCTTTCCAATGCTGCTGCCTAGGAGGGCCTAAAAGCTAAGTGAGGCCATTAAGGTTGGAATTTGTCATTGTTCAAGGTCCTTCTAACAAGAAGAACATTGACTCAGTGTTGGGGTGCTCAGCAGGTAACAGCACTGGAAAGGCTCAGGAAAGGATATCCTAGCTAAGTCCTCTAGGGGCCTTCTCAGAATCCAGAAGCTGCCAACAAGGCTGTGACACTAGAACAAAAAAAAGAGGGCACACAAACCCCTTACCTACCTCCTTACAGCAAGATAAACACTGAAACCCTGAATCCTTGAGAATTCCTCAAAAGAAGAAATTAACATTAACAATCACCTCTTTCAGAGGGAAATAGAGGTTGCAAAGAGACAGGTGGGGGCTGTCTAATAAATAGCTATATTTTTATGGAATGAGAAGATAGGCAGTGGGGCAGCCACACACATTACTACAATCAACTGAGGAGCATTTTTTGTCAAGAAATAAATATTAGGCTTATCAGGAGAAGTTCACAGCAGCTGATCAGGGTCTCCAGATCTCTACTTTGGCAGTCTGAAAGAGTGAACCTAGGCACCTGTCAGAAGTACTTTTCAGCTATGGAGGAGCTGTCTAGATCAAGGTAAGGCAAACTGTGGCCCTTCAAACATTTTGGCCAACAAGCCATATCCTCCCTCACCATTGGTTATGCTGGCTAGGGCTGAAAAGAGCCTGTCTGTCTGTCTGTCTGTCTGTCTATCTATTTAAAATATTTATATGCCGTCCTGTCGCAAAAAGCCTCAGGATGGCTTACAGCATAAAATACACATAAATAAGTTATAAGACAAAACACCAAGAAGGCCAAAAGTTGTTCAGCTATGGTCCACAGCAAGTATTGGGTGACACTTTAGCTGTCCCTAGTTCGAGGTACCATCAGAATTGTGTGTAATTTAAAGTGGTTGTTTGTCACACTGAATTGTCTAAGATGTAAAAAGAGAAATGCCAAAATAATGTCCAATCAAGATGTCTGAGCAGCAGGAAATATGGACAAAGGGATTTTAGGGTAGGTTTCAATGTGGATAAGTGCAAGGTCTTGCACTTGGGGCATAGGAATGGGTGTCATAAGTACAGGTTAGGGGACAAGTGGCTGGAGAGCAGCACTTGTGAAGGGACCTCGGGGTGCTGGTTGACTGTAGGCTAAACATGAGTCAGCAGTGTGATGGTTGCATAGCCAGAAGTGTGGCTTCTAGATTGAGAGAGGTATTACTACCACTCTATACGACTCTGGTGCGCCCACAACTGGAGTACTGTGTGCAGTTTTGGGCCCCTCATTACAGGAATGATATAGCCAGGTTAGAGTCAGTGCAACGTAGGGCCACTATGTTGGTGGCCGGTTCGCAGGGGATGCCGTATGAGGCGAGACTGAGGGAACTGGGTCTCTTCAGCCTGGAGAAGAGCAGACTCTGAGGGGATCTGTTAGCGACATACAGGTATGTGAGGGGATGTCACACAGAGGTGGGTAGAGACCTGTTCTCCCCTGCAGAGGAAGGCAGGACACGCTCCAACGGAGCAAAGTTCAGGGAACCAAGGTACCATTTAGATGCCAGGAAGCACTTCTTGACAGTTAGGACCCCGAGGGTCTGGAATGGGCTTCCACGGGAGGTGTTTGGGGCCCCATTGATGAGGGTGTTCAAAGATAGGCTAGACATGCACATGGTGGGCATGTCATGAGCGGAGCCGGCTGGAGCCGGGGATCAGACTAGATGGCCCGGGAGGCCCCTTCTGACATGCTCTGTCTCTATGTTTCTATATTCTATCCCTTGTTTGTTCACAGATTAAGCAATCTTATTCTTCAAGTGGTGATAAGCCAGGGTGGGGAAAATCTAGTTATTTCAAATGCAATCAGTTGTTCCTGTAACTGCCAAGCTCCTTTTCCACACCATTGAGCAATATAGTCCAAAATACAGGCTGTAATTAGTGCTTCAGGAAAAAGCTCATAGTTTTTCTGCCTTAGAAAATGAATCATGCAGCAGAAATGGGAAAGATGTGAGCAGAGAAAAGAAGCAGGCTTACAGGCTGTCCAGATGCAGTGCTATACATGCCAGATTCACACCAGTACAGATCACACAAGCCACATTGCATAGAGAGGACAGGCCATGAAACTTGAAGAACTTCAGGCGCAGGCTTCGATACTTGGCATCCTTCTCCTTCAAAAGCTGATAAGCCTCCCGCTGGCCTGAAAATCCCATTTCGTTCCCAAGTCCATGCTCCCTTTCAATCTCCTGCATCTTGAACATGGTCTTGGTAGTGACTTGAGAGAACCAGAAGGCATTGGCAGCAGCCAAGAGAAGTCCAGTGAAAAAAAAAATAATCTGCAAAGAAGACACAAAGTACAGGGTTCATTTGTAGAATCCAGATGTAAAAAAGCAAAACATTCCTACTTATTTGGGTTTCATAGAACCATAGAATAATGGAATTTCAAGGTGCCTATAAAGCCGTAAAGTCCAATCCTCTGCTCAATGCATCCTTGAGGATGCACTGAGAAGCCAGTGAAAGCATCCTTGACAGATGGCTGTGCAACTGCCTCTTGACAGCCCCCATTCTGAAAGAATCCATAACCACCCTAGGCAATTGGTTCCATTGCTATACAGCTCAGTCAGGAGGTTTTCAGCAAGAATCTGGCTTTCTGTAATGAGCCCATTATTCCTAGCCCAGGCTTCAACCCTAATACTGGGTTGAAAGCCCAATGCCTCAGCATGAATTCGAAAAAGTCTCCGTTTTGAAGGATTTTCAGCATACCTCATTCTTTCAGTGCAAGGCAAGCACAATGGAAGCCAAAAATAGAACACCTGGAACCTACTGTATTTCCCCAAAAATAAGACTGGGTCTTATATTAATTTTTGCTCCACAAGACGCATTAGGGCTTATTGTCAGGTGATATTTTGTTTTTTCTTATGAAAGTCGTAAGATTCTTGCCCTGAGAGTCCTCCATGATTCTTTTCTTGTACTCTACGAAATAGCTCTTTGTTTTTGCACTCATCTTGTCTAGGGATCAAAATATTATTCCCTTTAAACCTACCATTAAATCAAGTGTTAATTGAAGACTTACGAGACAGGAGTGGCAACACACAAGTGTATTAAGTACATCCGTTACAGCACACCATGTACTGAATTGTGAAACAGATCTGTTCATTATCAAGAGTACACATTATTCATGCATTGTGTCTGTACTCTGATTGGTCATTTGAAATAAGTCTCGAGTTCATCTGTTTACATAGGTGTTTACTTCTTGTTCAAAGGCGCCCATATGGGCATTTACAAATATTTAATTTATATTATTGTTTATTTTAAGTATTAATGTCAATAATATTATTTATTTATATTTAATTATATATTAATATTATTTTCTAATCTGATACATCAGTCATGTGTTGCAATGGATGTGCTACTGTGTTTCTCCATCCATTTGGCTGACAATCTTGACTGGGGCTTATTTTGGGGGTAGGGTTTATATTATGAGCACCCTGAAAAATCATGCTAGGGCTTATTTTCTGGTTAGGGCTTATTTTCGGGGAAATACAGTCGTTTTTGTAACCCTGATCCTAGCCCAGGCATCAATTCAAACCCTAATATTGGGCCAAAAACCCCATGCCTCAGCATGAATTAAAAAAAGTCTCCTTTTTGGAGGTTTTTCTGCACAGCACATTCTTTGAGCGCAAGGGAAGCATGATGTGAGTAAAAAAAATACAACACCTGGAACCTCCTTTTCGTAACCGTAACCCTAGCCTCAGGCTTCAATCCTAAACTTAATATTCGGCCAAAAGCCCCATGTCTCAGCATGAGTTCAAGCAATATTCCTTTTGGTAGGTTATTCTGCGCCGGTCATTCTTTCAGTGCAAGGTAAGCACGATGGAAGCCAAACATACAACATCTGGAACCTAGTTTTCGTAACCTTAACCCTAGCCCAGGCCAGAACCCCAACCCTAATTTTGGGTTGAAAGCCCCATGCCTCAGCACAGATTCAAAAAATTCTCATTTGGTAGTTTTTTCTGTGCAGCTCATGGTTTCAGCACCAGGGAAGCATGATGGAAGTTGAAAATACAAAACCTGAAACTTAGTTTTCATAAGCCTAAGCCTAAGCCTAGCCCAGGCCTTAACCCTAATCCTAATATTGGGCCGAAATCTCCACGCCTCAGCATGAATTTAAAAAAAGTATCCTTTTTGGAAGATTATCTGCACAGCTTATTCTTTCAGCATGAGGGAAGCACAATGCTAGCCGAAAATACAGGTGCGACCTAATTTTCGTAACCCTAACCCTAGCCCAGGCCACACCCATAACCCTAATATACATCCAAAAACCCCATGCCTTAGCACAGATTCAAAAAAATATTCCTTCTGGTAGGTTTTTCTGCACAGCTCATTCTTTCAGCGCAAGTTAAGCATGTTGGAAGCTGAAAATCAGACACCTGAAACCTAGTTTTCATAACCATGTCCTATACTTTGGGATCATAGAATCATGGAATAATAGAGTTGGAAGGGGACAGATGGTCATTAGATCCAACCCCTTTGTTAGTAGAGGACTCCAAGACACACCATCTATCTCAGATGGCCGACCATGGGTGATCAAGGAAAGATCCTGGCCCTCCTCAGTGTGACAGCCTTTCAAACATTTGAAAAGTGCTATCTTATCTCCCCTCAGTCTTCACTTCTTATGATTAAACATGTCCAGTTTTTTCAATTGCTCCTCATACAGCTTTGTTTCCAATCCCCTGATCATTTTTGGGGGGAGGAGAGAAGAGCAGGAGGTGATTTTGTGTCAGGATCTGGGCTGTTTTGGCAGCCAGTGGGGTTAGAAGAAATTTAATTTTGTACTGTCTTTTCCAGCTACCGTTAATCCTACCTGGTTGATCAAATAACCCTACCTCCTGGGCCAAAACATGATGGCCTGCATTTAGACACCTGACCAGCTGCCAATGAAGCCATAGCCAATCTGGATAGGTTTCTCTAGTGCTGACACACTCAGGATTAAGAAGCAGGTATGGAGGCTAATGTCAAACCAACTTTTCCTTGACTAGCTTTGGAATACAAGGTGAAAAGTCCCATGCTTCATATTGCTAGCCTTCCAATTACTTCTGTGCTCTAGGAGATCTGACCCCATTAAACCTTATGAATGCTGTGCATTTCTACCTGTTCAAGAGCACTACCCTACAGAAAGATTTTCAACAAAAAGCAGTCCTCCTGAGGCAATCCAAACTGGAGCCCTTCTCCTCAGTCCCTCTGACATCAAGAGATGCAAACACTCCCCAATCACCTTAGGCCTCTGCTATTTTGTGTTTCTGACAATTAAGACATGAGTTATGAGAGGGGCAATTATTTATGTATTGTAAATGCTCTCAGAGCAGATGAAACAGGTCAATAATAAGATAGATGTCATATTCATGTCTACACTAGAAGGCTGTTTTAAACAAGGAGGCTAAAAGACCAACTATGGACGAATTGATGCAGGCTAGACTGGAAGCAATGCATACAGTGAGTGGGAATGGTGATAATAGGAGAAACTAGAAAAACAGATCATAAGCAGCACTTTTCTGTGATAAAATGTGCCTCTGCAACCAGTTACAGTGGTACCTCAGCTAACAAATGCCTCAGTTCATGACCAAATCGGGTTACAAACAAAAATTTCACAAAAATTTTGACTCAGGTCGTGAACTCCATATTGGGTGGTGACCGCAATTGAGTAGGGAGTGGGGAGATGGCCAAAATCGCTCCCATCTTTCCTGCACAAGCACACCCGTGATTGCACCCGTCTTTCCTGCAAGAGTGCAACCGCAATCTCGGCCATCTCCCCTTCAGCACGATCGCACCCGCCTCCCCCCCCAGCGCACCTGGGTGTGATCACAGTCGTCCTGGGGGGTGGGGTGGGGAATGGCCATGATCTTTGTTGTTGTCACTTTGCTTCACATTTTTCTGATTAAAAAAAATAGTTACAGAACAGATTAACTTTATTTACATTGAACCTTATGGGGAAATTTAACTTGGCTCACGACCAATTTGGGTCACAACCAGAGTCCTGGAATGGATTAAGTTTGTGAGCCAAGGTACCACTGTACATGGGAACATGAGCTGCATTCTGTTGCTGTACTTGTCTCCCATTTGCAGGTTCCCCACAGACCAGTTGGCCAGTCTGTGAAGAGAATGCTGGACTTGACAGAACCTTGGTTTGATTCAGCAGGGATCTTATGTACCTAAGAAGTATGTTGCATGTTATTCTGCTGTATAATGCTTTATTCTCTGGAAGTGCAGCAATGAAGGCTGGAAGAAGAGAAGGGAGTTGGGGAGACATACGGATTCCATACCAAACAAGGTTGCACAGCTTGGAAAAGAGTGCAGTCCTATTAGTGTGAACTCATAAATGAAAACAACTGAGTTAAGTAAAATGGACTTTCTGATAGGTAACATAGAAAAAGAGTGAGTCAGGCTCCGCTCACAACATGCCCACCATGTGCATGTCTAGCCTATCCTTGAATACTCTCACCAATGGGGCCTCAAACACCTCCCATGGAAGTCCACTCCATTCCCATTCCATACCCTCGGAGTACTAACTGTCAGGAAGTACTTCCTGGCATCTAAATTGAACCTTGGTTCCCTGAGCTTTGCTCCATTGGAGCATGTCCTGCCTTCCTCTGCAGGGGAGAACAGGTCTCTACCCATCTCTGTGTGACACCCCCTCACATACCTGTATGTCACCAACAGATCCCCTCTGAGTCTCCTCTTCTCCAGGCTGAAGAGACCCAGTTCCCTCAGTCTTGCTTCATATGGCTTTCCCTGCAAACCAACCACCAACCTTGTGGCCCTACACTGCACTGACGCTAACCTGGCTATATCCTACCTGTAACAAGGGGCCCAACTCTTGAAGTACTCTTGGGTGTAACCCGTCAAGAGCCCGGTACCTTTGTAATGTCCAGTGCCCTGAGGAGCCCCTCGACTTCTACGGGGGTGACTCTAATTTGTGTCCCAAAGTCCCCGGCCTCATCTAATCTCCTATGCAGATCTCCCCCATCCTGCTTTGGGGAGAACACAGAGGCAAAATAGTCAGTTAGCATCCGTGCCTGTTCCCTCGCATCAGTCACTGGATCCCCTTCCTCCTTATTTAGTGGTCCCACTATCTGTCTCCCCTACCTCTTGCTATTTACATGCTGATAGAAGCCCTTTTTGTTGCTCTTGATATTCTTTGTCTCAGCTCATAATCAGCCTTAGCCTTGGGAAGAATCCTTCTGTAACGGGCCTCCTCCCCCCAGTATACTCTTTTGTCTATTTTCCCCAGTACCCATTTCCTATGGAGGTTCCTCTTGCATCTAGTCCTTCTAACCACCTCCTTTCACATCCATTGCGGCACTCTCCTTCATCCCCCACCTCACTAACTAGAGGTATCATCAAGGTTTGCGGCTCCAAAACCTCCCATTTGAGTGCCATCCACCCCTCCTCAACTTGCTTGCCTTCCAGTAACCTATCCCAGGAGACTTTCCCCAGTGTGGCCTTCAGTTGGCCAAAGTTGGCCCTCTTCCCAGCTTCTAGTGCTCGACCTGCTGCACGTCCCCAGTCCCTTGATGTCAAAGCAAAGGATGGAGTGATCACTCACATCCAGAGCTCCCCTAATCTGTACCTCATCTATCAGCTCCTCCCTGTTGGTCAAAACCAAGTCAAGGATGTCCCCCCCATGTTGCCTCTCGGACCCTCTGTGTGAAAAACCCTCCCTCTATAGCATCTAGGAAGCAACATGACCTGGCTGTCACCACTGAGTGAATCTCCCAACTAATATCCAGGAGACTGAAATCTCCCATAATTACTGTGTCCCTCCCCCAAGATATCCTTAGAATCTGATCTGTCAGGACATCATCCAGGGTCTCAAGTTGACCTGGAGGGTGATAACTTACCCCCACTCAGGCCCCTTTCCCTGTCAAAACCCCTCAGTTTCACTCAGACTGCCTCTATCTGTGCTGCATCCTATCTCACTGCATCCTATCCCTTCCCCAACATATAAAGCTATGCCCCCACCCCTCTTTCCCTTCCTGTCCTTTCTAAACAGGTGATATCCTTCTGTGTTTATATTTCAGTCTTGCCTTTCATCCCACCAAGTTTCCGTGATCCCCACCAGGTCATACCCTCCTAATCCCAGGAGAGTTTCAAGCTCTTCCTGCTTATTACCCAGGCTCCTAGCATTGGTGTACATGCACCTCAACTCTTTCCCACAGCTTCCTTTCTTTGGAATCTCCATCCTCCTCCATCCTCCCATCTTCCCTGATATCAGCCCCCTCTTCACAGGAGTCCTTTCGGCCCCTTCTGTCCCTTGCCAGAAGTCCATTGGCAAGAAACTGGGTGCCATAGTAGAGGAACCCGAAGCGTTCCTTCTGGCACCACACCCTAAGCCAGTCATTCACCTCAGCGACCCTCCTTTTCCCTGCCTGGCGCAAATCCTCGTCCCTCGTGATCCTGACCACACCCTGCCAGGCTATGTCATTGGTCCCCATATGGATCACCAGAAGTGGCTGGTGACCCCCAGAATGAACAAGATGCTCCACTCTATCCTTCACATGCCAGATGCGTGCGCCCGACAGGCAGCAGACCTCCCTTGCCTCAAGGTCGGGGTGGTCAGTGCCCCTCAGTAGTGAGCCCCCAACGACAATCACCTACCACCATCTCTTCCTGATGGTGGTAGGCGGCCATGCCCTGGCCCTTGCCTCTCCTGCAGCGGCCTCCTAGCCACATGTGGTCCTAGGCAAAATTGTATCAAGAGTGAAAAGCACCAATCTTGGCTTCTGTGACTCATGGTGAACTCTTTCAAGCCTCATCATCATGCTCAGAAAGAAAATATTTAGGGACCTACCCAGTTTGGACATATCTGATTATCTTTCAGCATCCTCCTTGGGTGCCTCCATGTTTGGAGGCCTCCACATTAGGGCAGTAAAAACTTATGCCACCTCCAATTTGCAGTTGTGAATCTGGCATCCTATTCAGACAAATGAGAGCCTAAAAGTTGCTCTAAGTGAACAAGCCTAAAATGAAATCTTCTTCACCCCATGGTGTTATACAGCAGCTAAGAAAAAATGCAAACAATAGTGGGAAAACCACTATTTGGCCATCCAGAGCAAAAGTCTCATCTAGAAGCTCCTGCAGTCAGGACGAAATATTCCTGGGATCAGATGGGCTAATGGTTTTCAATTACAGAGGAGCTGATGATTTGACCTTCTAGACAAAACTTTTATAGCGTCATAACCTTGTCTCATTTGCAGAATTTTACAGAACAGTCCAGACAATGCCATCTCCCACTTATAACCCTCCCATATTTTCCTAATGGTGCTTCAAACTTTTTTTTTTAATAATGCAGAAAATCTGTTAAGGAGAAAAAGGCATAATAGCGGCACAATGCCTTATGGTTATTAACACTGGGAATTTTCTACCTGGAAGCAACCTTTGATTTTGTGACAAGCTGAAAAATTCCCTAGGATGCCAATGTAAAGGAGCACTTCCTGCCCACAACCACCCGCCTGCTCAAAAGCTGCACAACTTTACATCATTGCTTGGTACTTACTTGGACAGTTTCCATAGTATTAAGAAGTTCCCATGGATGGTATGAAGCAAAGATGGCAAGATTCAGGAAAGTGCAGCCCAGCAGGGTATAGAAATAGAAGGGAAACAATTTGCTTTGAACCAGACCAAAGGTGTGCCTGCTCACACTCCGGAAAAGAACAAATCCTAAAACAGAGAAGGGGGTGACAGATTTACAACACATTAACTCATTTATTTTTGAAAAGAAGCAAGATTTTATGGGGTTGGACCATCATGGAGTTCAGACCTCTGGGTTTTATATAAATCTCAGTGGTTAGGATCTAGGCCAGTGGTGGCGAACCTATGGCACACGTGCCGCAGTGGGCACAAAAAGCCCTCTCTGTCAGCATGCAAGCCAAGTTGCCCCAGCATCACCCCAGCAGCCGAGCATCAGATAACAGTGCACATAGGGGCCATGTGCATGCTCGGAAAGGAGTAGCAGCGCCAGGCAATCACACCACAAGCCGCAACTCATTAGCCACAACTCGCCCGAGCTTTTGCATGGCCAGTCAGTGCGCTGCCAAAGATAGATAGAGAGATAGAGAGATTTGCTTGGACTGGCTGTGAGTTTTAATACATTCATTTTTATTAACACAAGATTTTAGCTTTGAGTTTTCTTATGAAAAATTGAAATTTAATATCTAAGATTTAGCAAAGAGATGTTCTAATTAAAACTGAAATTCTTTTAATGTTGTGCTGTCTCCTGGCATATTTGAATCTGCAGCATTGTATTTAGTTGTTTTTTTTAAACTAAAACTTCAGTATTCAGGTTTTATTGCAATGTTGACACTTTGCAATAAATAAGCAGGTTTTGGGTTGCAGTTTGGGCACTCGGTCTCTAAAAAATTCGCCATCATTGATCTAGGCCTTCCAACAGCTAACTGCAGCAGTGCAAGAAGAAAGGGTAGGCAACCTGATTCTTCTCATGTGTTTTGGACTACAACTCCCACTAGCTCCAGTCAGCATGTCCAATAACCACAAATTATGGAGACTGTAGCCCAGAACACCTAAAAGACACCAAGACTGCCAACCTCAGTTCATCACAAAAGAGCGCTTCTCTCCTGTTCCCTGACATTTCCTTAAATAAAACCTAGTCTTTGCTTTTGCTTTTCTTAATCCAAACTCCCCTCCCCTCCAAACATACCTGCAATAAAAGTCACCCATATCTGCATTCCCCATGTGGTGGAGAGGATAAAAAGCTGAATGACTCTGATAAGAGCACTTGGCTCCCCTTCTGTTGACATATTTGTACCAAGGGACCTAGAAATGGGTGAAGGGAAACAAGAAGTGAGGAGAAGGTAGTGAAACCAAAAGACATCCCAAAAACAGCCAAATGAATTGTTTCATTAGTACAGTCACACATTTTCAATGTTCACAGCATGCTGGTTGTTGCAGAGAATGAAAAGGGTACATGGACCATCCTGAGAGTTCTGCAGAGAGTGCCAGAAATTCACAGAAAAACAGGACAAGTAGTCCAAGCAACTTCTGGAAGGGAATTTAAGGCAAGTCTCAACTCAACTTAGCACTATTACCATAAATGAAACAATAAAGGAAGAAAATCAGTTTAAATAGGGTATCTTGTACATTTGTGAAATAGAAACACAGAGCCTTTTTGCAGAAGATTAATATGGTTATCTTTTATCTTCTCTTCCCCCTCTGCAAAACATATGGCCTTAACCTACAGAACAATTAGCCACAATTGCTTTAGAAACTCTTTTTGTGCTACATGAGAGTACTGACCTGCACTGATCATGAGGGTGAGGGAATTATATACCAAAACTGGCCTAGGAATTAGTGGAGGCCTTCAAGACATTTTAGGTTGTGATACTTACCTGGAAGTATGTCCCATTGAACTCAGTAGGACTTACTTCTAAGTAATCCAGGACTGCATTGTTAGTAATCTTTAATAAATATTCTACTAGCTACACCTGGTTCCCAGGTTAAAAACAAGTTCTGTTCCTGAGATTATATCTAAGCTGAATTTGTAAGTAAGTCAGATTACATATATAAAAAGCATATACTTGCCTATACACTAAAGCATTTTAAACAAAATACAGTATTTAATAATGTTAATAATACAGTAATAATAAAGTAACTACATGTAACTACAGTGACTCCATGTGAACTGAAACACACTGGTTTGGATACACTAGTTTTCCATGAGTATGAAAAGCTACTGTAGTTCTGCTACAGAACTAGTTCCTGCTTTGCTGTTTGTTTCTTTTCCCCTCTCCCCTTCATTCCCTTCTTCCTTCCCTTCCTATTCTTCCCTTTCTTCTTGCCTCCTTGCAGCCTGCCACCTGTCGCCCACAGTTGCCTGCTTGCCACTTGAGTACAAGGTAGCACTTCCAGGTTTGCTCATTTGTAAGTAAGGGTTGTTCTTAACTCGGGCGTTTGTAACAGAGAGATTGGTAGGCATGTCATGAGCATAGCCAGCTAGACCCAGGGGTCAGACTAGTCTCTATGCTTCTATGATTAACTCTGCCATAGTCCCTGCATAGCTGAGCTCAGCAGCTGACAGAAGGAGATAAGAAGAGATGGGAGAGTCAGGCAGATTCGCCCCAGGGTCATTCTGATCCCCCTGCATGTTTATTCAAAGCAGCTGCACTATCACAACTAAGACCCCTGTGCTATGAATATACCACGTGGCTGGGCAAGATGGGAGTTGCAGTACTTCTGGTTGGAAAAGGCTGCACAAGGTGATTCTAAACAAGCTCTGCTCTCTTCGATGGAGCACAGGCCATTAGGCAGAATGAGGCGCCTGCCTGTGGCAGCAAGTGCTGTGGGGAGCACAGCAGAGCCCAGGCATAGGAGCACAGAACTGTGGGAAAGCTACAGGACCTGTCCTTCACCCCCTAAACTAGCCTCTGTACTATGATGTAGGGGAAGACCCTGCCCTGCCACCAGTGTTGAAATTTGTCAGTCCTGTCAGCTTTTGGACATGAGTTGAAAGCATCTAACTCTTTATCTCAGGCAGCAAAATGTCATTACTAGCCCTGGAGAAGCATTTGAACTCTCCAAGCACTGAAAAACACTGAGTACTAAGTAAATGCCACAAAGTTCGCTGTGACTCATTCCCAACGGAAAAAGTGCAACCTGGCTCCTGTGAAAAAAATAATGGATGTGGCCACCATCCATGGGGCCCCATGCCCTGCTCCTTCCCAAGGGAAGTCAGGACTGTCCCAAGAATATTACTTCCACAATCGTTTTCCCAAGGCCACACGCTATTCCTGGCTTAAAGGCTAAGCAAGTTTACCCAGAAGTCAGCCCCACTCCCATTAGACCCGAGCCGTTTGCCAGAGACACAGATGATGATGTCCTGGGCAATTGTGTACACGGCACGGAATTGCGGGCAAAGTCCAAACACGAGCGGTACGCAAGTAGACGCGCTGGCCAGAACTACCGAAGGCGGAGGGAGACGGCTGCCACAGGACCGGTTTGTGGGTTGCTGAAACGATCCCAAAGGGGGGACGGCTTTGCCACTGTTGGATGGCCTAAGGAGCAGTTACTGGCGGCTCTCTGGAGGAGAAGCTGCGCAGCCCAATTCCCTACATTACCACCGTGGTACCCGCGCTTTGAGTCTTCGAGGGGATCCCCGCGGGGCTGTCCAAACAATACTGTGGGCGGCTCCGCCGAAAAACTCGGCGTTAGAGGGACTTCATTTAGATACCGCTGTGCTCCCTGCTCCGCTCCACCCCGGCCCAGAAAGAGGTGGCGGCGGCGGCGGCGAGCTCTCCCCGCGAGCCCCTGAGCAATCCTCGGAGCGAACACGCACCTCTCCTTGCTCCTTTCAGCGACCGCCTCCACGAAGGGCCTAGTCGCCAGCCAGCCCCTCTGCGAGCAACCAAGCCCCGCCCCCGGAGGTGCTTCAGCAGAAGCGTCATTAAGGAGGGCGGGGCCACGCCGCTTTGTTGCACGGCTGGCGGGCAGGGAGCGGCGGCGTTGTGCTGCGGCTTTCTGAGCTGGACAGGGCAAGTGCCGTGGCCCCAGAGCCCCGTGGGCGAGGGGGGTGCCGAAGGATGGACGTGCTGGAGGGAAAGATGTTGGCCACAAAGGTAAATGGTGGGGAGTGGGAACAAGAAGCTCCCCTTCCTCCTCATCCGCGAAGCACCTGTAAAGGGACGTGCACAATTCTAGGACCTTGCAGGCGGCAGAGGAGCCCTTTGCTCCCAGCGGGGGCTCAGCGTGGCAGTAATCCAAACGGCTCTGTCCAACCGTGGCAGTTACTAATGCGAAGAGAGCGCCCGGCTATGGCAGCTCCTGCCTCCTTCCTTGGCGGGTTGGTTTTAGAAAGCTCCCCGAGAGATGCCTTGGATGAAGAAAGTCAAACCATTTCGAGGGCAACAAATTTCCCACTCTCTTAGAGGTTTAAAATCCATGAGCCACATGCAAGAGACCAAGGTGCAAATCCCCATGCAACCATTCATCGGAACTGGGTAGCTCTGGACCAGCCCTTCAGCAGCCTTTCTCATCCCCAGACTTGTGTGAGGATAAACAGAATGATAAGTACTTGGAATAGGAAGGATACGCTACACATGACAAGGAATTTAGATTATTTGCTGGCATTTGCTGTAGATGCTGAAATTCATGTGACAAGGAAACTCAGGTTCCATGTCTCTGAACTATTTAAATCCCACCTGCCCAATAGAAACTGTGCCACCTAAACCATTTTGTATCCTGGAGCCCCAGTAATAGTTTCCCTCACACCCTATCCCACCCACTCTAAAAGTCTTATTGCACCCTTCAGACACCAATTCTCACCTTCCTCTTTCCCCACTCCCCTCTGTAGCCCAGTCTGAAATGGTTTACTTTGTAGGGTGGTGCCAACCTGTGCACATTCACATGACTGCTGTAGTTCATATGAAACCGCTCCTAACATTACCACTATGATGCAGCAGGAACCGAACCAGGCCCAGGCCCAGCATTATGGTATTCCCTCCCCGCAGCCCCACACCAGTCTTCAGATCCCTCTACCATGCTCAGCAATACTGAGATCTGCATTGCCTTCTCTCTGTACCTTCTAAGACTGAGCAAGCAGGTTGGCCAATGCCTGCCTTCTAGCTGAGTTGTATGAGGGCTGAGAGCTCTGCTTCGAGCCACCCTCAGCCTGGGCCCCTCCAAATGTATTGGACTGGCCAATGTTAGATGATGAGAGTCGTAGCCCAACATATCTGGAGGTACCAGGCCAGGGAAGGCAATTTTCATATCTGTTCACATACCAGTGCCACAGACCCCCGCAGGGATGTTCCCTTCTCTGAATGACAGCTTGTCCCATTATTTTAACTAAGTTTCATCAACCCTTCTGGGAGAATAATACAGGTGAGACTGAAACTCACCAAAAAACAAACCTCCTCCCACTTTCCAAGGGCCTGGTCAAGGAATGGAGAAGCACCTGGATAACTGACCAGTGACTATTCTTGTAAAATTTGATTTCATTAATATTGAGTGAATGCAGTGACTTAAGACATACCGCAACTTTCCTGTATTTAGGCTTCAGTTATTTTTCACTGATTCCTCCTTGCCGTACCAGTCTTCCCTCCCCACAGTTCTGGCTGCAGACCTGACTGCAAGGCTAAATGTTGGGATGGGGAGTATGCTGTGTAGGAAACTCCTGCCTTACTACCACCATCTGGTGGCTTATCACTGCACCTGTAGGCCAGGTTACAGTTGTGCACTGGCTCACGAACTTAATCCATTCCAGGACTCTGGTCGTGACCCAAATTGGTCATGAACCAAGTCAAATTTCCCCATAAGGTTCAGTGTAAATAAAGTTAATCCGTTCTGTAACATTTTTAATCAGAAGAATTAAAATGCTCACATGACTCCAGTCCTCCATCAGCTTCACTGGCTTCCCATTGAAGCCCGGGCCCAATTCAAGGTGTTGATTATGACCTACAAAGCCCTAAACGGCTTGGGTCCTGGCTACCTGAACGAGCGCTTACGTCCGTATATGCCCGACCGCCCTTTGAGATCTGCGGGAGAGTCCCTTCTCCGGGAACCCTCCATGAAAGAAATTAGGAGAGTAAGTACCCGGAGGAGGGCTTTCTCTGCGGTGGCGCCCAACCTATGGAATTCACTCCCCAAAGAGGTCCGCCTGGCACCGTCGTTACTGGTTTTTCGGCGCCAGGTAAAGACCTTTTTATTTAAACATCATTTCAATTGTTAAAACATATGATCTGGCCTGGGCAACTTCTTCTTCCTTCTCTTTCTCCTCCTATATTTTTATTTTATACTGATAATTTTTATTTTGTATTTGTAAATCAATGTATTTTTTGTATTGTTATATTTAATGGTAATTTATTATGTACTATTGTATTTCAATGTATTTTATCATGTTGTAAGCCGCCCCGAGGTTTCGGCAAGGGGCGGCATAGAAATGTTATAATAATAATAATAATAATAAAAAGAATTTGAAACAAAGTGACAAAGAACAACAAAGATCATGGCCATCTCCCCCCCCCCCCACAGCACGATTGTGATCACGGCCATAGACAGGCGTGCTTGCGGGCGCGCTGAGGATGGGGGGAGAAACAGGCGCGATCATGCTGCGGGGAGAGATGGCTGAGATCGTGGTTGCACTCATTCAGGAAAGAGGGACTCAATCTCAGCCATCTCCCCACCCCCCAAGGACAACCGCAATCATGCCGGTCTTCCCTGCATGAGTGCGACTGCGATCGTGGCCATCTCCCCACTTGGGTGGGGTGGGGAGATGGCCACAATTGCAATCGCCACCCAATGCAGAGTTCACAACCTGAGTAAAAAATTTTATGAAATTTTTGTTCGCGACCCAATTTGGTCGTGAACTGAGGCATTCGTGAGCTGAGGTACCACTGTATCTGGTTAACCACCCTTGGGAACAGGATACAATGTTCGATGGCCCACCTGCATCTGATGCAGCAATCTCTTTTGTCATAAAGGAGTGAGATATCATGCAGCCCTGTCCTAAAGGAAAGATGGTCATTCAAGAGCAGGCATCCTTTTCATTTCAATGAGGTTGCCCAATAGAATGAACCTCTCATGCTCTCCAACCAGCTGGAGTGAAAACTCATGCAGTTTCCCCTTAGTATCCTCCAACACTGATGTATGACATTCGTTTCCCATATCTAATCTTTGTCTCCCCTGCTATATTGCTTGCTTCATGTGGATTATAAACCCTTTGAGGTATGCCTTCTTCAGTCCCTAAGACGAAATTCAGTGCAGAAAAGCCACAAACAAATCCAGCTGACTCAATCGAGTACAGTAGTACCTCAGTTCATGAAAGCTTCTGTTCTCAACCAATTAGGTTTGTGAACAGAAATTTTGGCAAAATTTTGCCTCCATTCGCAAACTGTGCATCGGGTGACGAACACAATTGTGGCCATCTTTCCCACCTGAACACTCCAAACAATAACCTCCCCATCCCACCCACCACAAGGGGGAGCCATGAGGGCGCTCTCACCTTGGTCAAGGCCTTCCCAGCTCCTCGCCGCAGTCCCATTTCCGAGCTGGAGGAAGGTCCCCTCACAGGCACTGTCCCGGCTCCAGGAGGGGGAACAGGAGTGGGAGGCCAGAGAGGCAGGTGTGGGATGGCTTCCCTGGCTGGGAGAGGGCCACAAGGAGGGAGGTAAGGGCTGCTTTCCACAGGCTGAGGTGACAGGAGGCATGGGATGGGGCCACGGCCAGCCAAGTGGGGTACCTCCTGCCTCTCCCTGCCACGGGGGGAAGAAGTATGGCGGCTGTTCGGCAGTAGCTTACCCTGAGAAGGCCGCGATGGAGGCATGGGAGCCATGGCCCCACTCCTGCTCCGCCTTGGCCTGTCCACTCCCAGGCTTGGTGAGGTGGCCGCAGCTTGGCCCACAGCCCGGGGATGTGGCTCATATTTTCGTGGTTTAATTATTTTTACATATTTATTGATTTAAAACTTTTATATGCCATCCTTTATGAATAACATAAAGTTAGGTTTCAGAATGGATTAACCTTATTTGCATTGAACCTAATGGGGAAATTTGACTCAGTTCATGACCAATTCAGTTCATGACCAGAATCGTGGAATGTATTAAGTTCGTGAACCAAGGTATCACTGTACTTTTCTGGCACCCATAAGCAGAACATTAAGATGATGGTCAAGTTCACATGTCATGAGTAACAGTACTGCATTGTTTCTACCGTGCACTATTCTTTTGCATGGGCATGCCTGAAAGACAGCCAAACTCGCATGGTGACTTTCCTCTCATTCGCCATACCCTTCTCTTCCCTCCAAGCGCTATCCCAGGAGGCACCATGGAGAGGAACCAAGGCCTCTTGCTTTGACAGCTGAGTTTGGTTCATCATGACTGTTGAGCAGTCTCTGCTGCACAGCAAGGCTCATGCCATGAAGCATAGCAGGGAGGACATGAAACTGAACAGGCACCATCCCCCTGTTCCAGACGAGACTGCTTCATACTTGGGCAAAAGAGGGGAAATCCACTGGGCTGGGCTGCAGGAAGGAGCAGCAGTACTTAGTTGATTCCTCCTCTGCCCCTTTGCACATGCAAAGAGAGAAGTGCCTCATGAGTGTGAGCAAGCTAGCAGCAGGGTCGATAAGCAGCGGGGTCCATCTGGGGATTGTACAACACAGTAGATTTCCCTGCTGCTCCCATTTCTTGCTCTGGCTTGCCTGAGAGGCATCCTCAG